TGTGTGTGTGTGTGTGTGTCTGTGTGTCTGTGTGTGTGTGTGTGTGTGTGTGTGTGTGTGTGTGTGTGTGTGTGTGTGTGTGTGTGTGTGTGTGTGTGTGTGTGTGTGTGTGTGTGTATGTTACTTGGATGCCCTGCAGGGACAGCACCATGCCCACATTGCCACTCATGCGGTACACCTGGATGGCCAGCTCCACCTCCATGTGGACCAGACAGGCTCCGCCCACCTCCGCCCAGTCTGTGCTGCTGCCTGACGACTGACACAGACCTCGGGCTTCATGGAACCTGCACAGGAATACACACACACATATTATTTATATCATATAGTGTCTAAAGATGTAAAAACCTATCTTCTGTTACATTGGAGTTGCATACAGTTGTCTTTATATTGTTAATGTACCCTTAACGGCATCCAACCAAAACCACAGAAAGAAAAACCCCCATATTTGACTGAAAACCAAATATACTTCCAACTGACAATTATATAAAATATAACACATCAAACATGGTCAGTATCTCCAACATGACCGACCTCTTGAGCTTCAGCGCCTGGGCGACCTGCTTGCTGAGCTCCGGCGGTGAGTCCGTTGCGGTGCCAGTTGAATTCTTGAGGAAGGAGTGTGTGCTCAGAGTGACTTCACTGGTCTTGCCGCTCGCTGTCTGACATGTCAGGTCCCCGTTGTGCAAGAGCAAAGGCTTCTGGGAAAAGAGGAGTGCGGTGCTTCCCACCAACACCACCCGGGGGCCTGGGCAGACAGAGAGAGGCACGTTGGTTTTTCATTACGTACTGATAGATGATAGTATTTTGTTGATTTACATATTCAAATATTTGCAGTTCGTTTTGTAATTTTTGGGGGGAATTTCAAAGACAGGTCATATCTTTAGTCACTAATAAACTATGTAGCTAAAAATATTGTTGGTTCAAATGATTAACTCAGCGAAAGTGAGAATAATATCAAGCTTATTTTTACTGCAGTTTTTTGGCTCAGACATTATTGTCCTCCGAGCACATCAGAGCAATGTGTGTGATGGTGGTGACCCTACCATATATGGTGGTTTTGTGCAGGGCGTAGGTGTAGACCTTGTCATCATCGTAGGCCACAAACACTCCTCTGTCAGAGTGCCAGTTGTCCCACAGCACTCCAGTGATGGTGGGAGAGAAGTTGGGGAGCTCGAAGCAGGAGTCTGTGGCCTAGATTGGACACATACAAAGACATGGAATATAATACGTATTGTCTTACCATGATATTTAGTCACTGCATATTTAAGTATCTAGTTTTATAAGCAGCCAAAGTACCATAGATGTAAGTTACCATATGTACTAACATTTGAAGGAGAGAGCAGGAAGCCACCGTTCTTGTCGTCGATGAAAACCAGCCGTGTGCCATTTAGGTCAGGGAACACTTTCCTCACACCAACCGAGTGGGTGTAGCTGCTCACAGTCTCCCAGTCCTCCACCAAGACACACACCACATTACCTGACTGGCAAACAGATAACACCCGTTAGAAAAGGAGAGGCGGGGATTGAGGGAGGGGAATAATAAAAGGAAAAGTGCAAAGTCAAACTTCTATTCATTACTTACTGAGCAACCTAATTTCAATGTGGCTCTAAGAGACATTTATAGCTTACATTAATAAGCCAAAGGAAAGTCTTAATGAAAAATGCCACTTTAACAAAATAGTACTTCTGCTAGAATACATTTTAGTTGGCAGACGGAGGGGAGGATAAGCTGGGCCTTACATCAGTGCCGTAGTAGAGGAAGTCAGCGGTGAGTGCGTGGCAAAGGATCCGCCCTTTTCTGTCGTCGTCTGGAAACAACTTCATCTGTTTCTTCTCCTCCTGATCTTTGCCTTCAATCTAAACATAATACACACTGAGTATATGGAGTAAAGTCACACTAAAAACAGTAAATGGGAAAGCCTGCTCAATGAAGGATGATTGTTGGTGATAAAAAGAGAAGCAGAGCACTGACTCACCATGTGCAGCTGCACTTTCCCCTCAAACAGCGCTGCAGCGTAGTAAGAGTTAAGGCACATGCTTGCTATGGTCCCCAAATACTCAATGTCCTTCAACTTTTTAAAACCTGAGTGAGAAACAAAACTGTTAAGCCATAGGTATTCATCTAATGATATAAGTTTATACAAATAATAATATGTTTATGAATTAACATGGTTTTTCTTGGTTAACACACACCAGGCTTGTGGTCTATCAAGTCGTAAAACCAGGCTCTATTGTTCATCCCCACGGCCACATGGTACGGTCCCAGCGCAATAAAGGTAGGCTCTACTTCCACTTCTATAGTCACAGGACTCTCCTGAAAAGCAAAAGGCAGCAACGAGGGATTGAAGGTGGTTTGTAATTGCAGAGCAGCTAGGGATCGATATATCTCTCTAAACCAGACGCGGAAAAATAACATGGTGTGAGCAGGGGTTTAAAGTAATACTGTTTCTCACCCCCTCCACCTGGTTGGACACAGTGACCTCCAGCAGCGAGGTGAGGTACGCCAGCCGGGTCCCAAAGCTGCTGCCCAGGATCGGCAGCTTGGTGAGGAAGACATGCAGCGTCCCTTTCTGAGTGGAGACCGCCAACAGCTGCCCGTCGTCTGTCCAGTTCAGCTGGTCCAGACCTGGAGGAGGAGAGAGAGCATAAAGAAGTGTGTGGTGGTGCCTTCAAGACAGCCCTGGCAGAAAAACTGGCAGACTGTCTTACCTTTAGTCTCATCATCCAGCTGCACTACATTGCTGATGTCCTTGAAATCAGACAAGTCGTGGATCTTAATGCTGCAACAGAAAGCAAAAGGCTTTAGTTTCTGTTCACTTGATAAACACAGTTTTGGTGTTTATCTTGAAAGCCAGTGTGTACCTGTTGTCCCCGCAGGAGGCAGCCTTGTTTAAAGCTGTTGAGATGGCCACACTGTTGAGACTTTCTTTATGGTTGTGAGCCTGACAGAGCTCATGACCAATCTCCCTGATGTGCGTGGAGATAACCACAAAGTACCCATGGGAGAAGCCGATCAGTATATACCCATCACCATACCTGGAGAGACGCACAGAGGAAGAGAAGTGACTTTAGTACTCATATCTCACTGATAAGATTAAGCACAAGTGTCTTGTTAGTGTGTGTTAACGTGCAGTACCAGCGGTAGGACACAATGTTTCCATAGTGACGCTGGAAGGTCAAGTCTATCCGGTTGTCAGGGTCGTGGATATTGAAGAGTATCAGTATTTTCTTGTCCACAGACAAACTCACCTGAAAAGTCAAGAAAGGTAAAAATATGCCATAAAGTAAAACTCAAACAATTACATTTTAAATATATTGCTATATTGTGTACATTTTGGACAGCTTTAATAGGTTTTTACAGTTAAAACACATCGGCAATGGTGGATATCATGACCAAAGCAAACAAGTGATTCTTAAGCTCAAGACACTAATATGAAAACATGTTTTATAAATGTAATTTAAAAATGATTCAGAAGAATGTGGATAATTAAAGTTAGTGAGAAAGTGGAGAAGAAAACCTAGACTTACGGTGTTCTCTCCTTGACCGGATCTTTCATCCGTCTTCATCACTGAAAAGGTCATCTCAGCAGGCTCACCGTGCAGTGAGGCCTGGGGAAAATAACATAACATTTGTGCTTACAATGGGGATGGCATCCCAACATGACCCCACTCAAAGACCTGACTGATGACACTAACAGTCAAATGGCAATAATCTGATGTAAAACCACGTCGTTTCATGGCCTCGGCGAAGCTAACAGATTTGTATTGCCTGTGTTTTAAGATAAGATAAGATGTACTTCTTGGCTACCTGTCGGATGGTGTCCCCCTCATGATTGCTGATGCTCAGAGTGTTGTCCTCACTTCCCAGAGCCAGGAGATTCTGATTGTTCCAGCACCCACAAGTGATTTTCTTTGTGTGTTTACCTGGTATTTGTGGTGGGAGAAGGAGATAAACAAGTATAGAAGAGAATGAAAACTAACAAAACTATAAGCAAGAATCTGTGTGTGCATTTGTGTTTAGTTGTATATTACCGAGTACAGGGATCTTGCGTGAGGTCTGCTGATTGTAAATCAATAGATTTCCTTTCACTGTCCCAACTGCTAACAGTGGGCCAGTCTTAGACCACAAAATAAAGGACATCTGATCTCTGTTGAAAGCAAAAACAGCAGGAAGCATACTCAGGGTTTAAGAAGTGAATAACAATTATTTCAAAGCCGCTTTACTCCAAAAAGAATGATAGTTGCTTTTGAGCGAAATGAGCTGGAATGATTAATGCTTTAACACTGGCATTGGATTTTCAGAGGATTAAGCCAATGCTAATTTCTCTCTCTGGGGGAAGGCCATACCTCATTCCGCTGTCTATGTGGGAGGTTTTATTGACGCTGGCATCCCAGAAGTAGATGGAGCTGGATTTTGCAGCTATCACTGCCAAAATGTCCCCATCTTTATCCCAGTCCATCCCCACACAGCGCCTAAGGGAGAGGGAGGTGGGTCAAATGATGAAAGGAACTTACTGTCAAACCTTTTCAAACAGCAAGGGATTATGATCTGAACGAAAACAAGTAATGTTAACTTCTCACACACTTACCCTGGTATGCTGAGTTCTGTCCACTGGTGGCCATGTCTATCAAATATTTTCACAGAATTGTCCTGCCTGTATGATTAGAAATACCATGCACATTTTAGGCACTGTGCCATCATGACTTATATCAAGAGAAGTATATCATCACGCAAGTTTGTTGTTTATTACTCACCCTGCAACAGCAATATAATTTCCAAGGCTTTTCTGCCACTTATACAGAAGGTTAGAACCCGCCCAGGCTTTATCAGCGAGGATGAAAACGCTCTGTCACACAAGGATTAGTTTGTTTTATTCGGAAAAAGGCATATAAATAACTGAAATTAAAGTAGCAAATGCAGTGTTCTACATAAACCTTTGAAAAGATTTCAAACTCAGGAATAGTTTACAATCATCATAAAAAGAAAGATAATTGAATGTGCGCTATGACTGTTCACTGGGTACAGCAGCACTGAAATATAAAAAAGTTTCAATCAAACTTACACTGAAGAAAAATATAAACGCAACACTTTTGTTTTTGCTCCCATTTTTCAAGAGATGAACTCAAAGATCTAAAACATTTTCTATATACACAAAATAACCATTTCTCTCAAATATTGTTCACAAATCTGAAAAAATCTGTGATAGTGAGCACTTCTCCTTTGCCGAGATAATCCATCCCACCTCACAGGTGTGGCATATCAAGATGCTGATTAGACAGCATGATTATTTCACAGGTGTGCCTTAGGCTGGCCACAATAAAAGGCCACTCTGAAACATGCATTTTTGCTTTATTGGGGGGGGTCTGGGGGGGTCCGAAAACCAGTCAGTATCTGGTGTGAGGGTTAGGATTAGGGTTAGGGTAATGTTGTGAATCGAGTGGCCCATGGTGGTGGTGGGGTTATGGTATGGGCAGGCGTATGTTATGGACGATGAACACAGGCCACTCGATTCACAACATTACC